CGGTCACTATCAAACACTGTGCCTCAACTTTCAGCAGTAGACTTCTCACAGAAGCCCCGTACACTATCGGCTCAATATATCACTGACATTTAAACACTTTTCCCGCTTAAAAACGCTCGAAAAATTTGGCGTTTTTTTTCTCACCACAGTCCTGTCTCTGTTGACACGAGATCGTGATTTCTATTTATTTCCCTTCTCATATCACTCAATAACGAGATGGAGAAGCAAAGGGGATAATTAGCGACACATCGCGTCGTGAATGGAGCGCCATCGACTCCACCCTCCAAAATCGCAAATCGAATAACGCTCCCTTCCCCGATCCCGCACGCATAAACACTACCGCGCGTTTTTTTTTCCGAACTTCGCGCTAGTCGAATAAAATCAGTGAAAGCGCAATCAACAGATAAAGAGAAAGAGAGAAAGAAATGAGATGAGAAGAAGAGAGCAGTGCGCTCTAATAGAAGAAAGAAAAGAGATCGCGTAACTGACAGCAGTAGATACGCCGTCTGAGTGGTGACTGGTCGACTGTATGCTGAGAATAAGCGCGGATCACGCTCTCGCGCGCAGGACAACGCGTCACGCACGGTGGGCGTGATCTGACCTCTATTCGGCTTTCCATCGCGCCCAGCGATTGGTGCGTCCTAGATCGTGTCGCCATTTGCACACTCCTCCCATGCGCCCCACCGCGCGTCGGCGGTAAATCTCCCCCTCATCGCCGCGCCACATCGTGCGGATCCAGTCACTTGAGAGGTATCCCCCATTAATTTCTAAAATAATTATTTTATATATATATATATATATTGTATATATACATATACATATTATACGTATATATGTATATTCTGTCCTTGCATCTCTCTTGCTCCCCTTAACCCGCTAGATGTGCCACTGATACCGTCCGATGCAAAGTCTCTCTTCTCTCCTTTTCCTCCTATACACATATCGCAGTTTCTTCTTTTCTTTCCTTTTAAATTTCAATTTACGGTCAGTACGAGTGATCTTTTATCAACCGCGATCTCAATCTAAATGGGGCACAATTTTCCTCGCGGGCCATATTCGAGGGCGGAGACGAGTCATAGAATATCACATCTATGCAGTCCATGTCAAAGAATAGGAGGACGAGAGAAGTACGGAGGAAGATAAAGGGGTGGATGTTGGATCGCTGATGATTGCTTCGTAATATCTTGTTAATCGCTGTCTATAGATCTCCGTGCATCCAGAAAAGAGAGCGTCTTTATTTCACGGGATTTAAAGAGTTTCTTGATGATTAAATGTTGCGCAAGAAAGTTATTTCACAGTTGCGAATCATCTTTGCACTGCAATGATTTTATTTTTTGTTAATAAATTCATATAATGATATTTTATTTTTAACACGTACAAGTGCATATAATTAATATTAATTAATTAATAAAATTAGGTTTTCTACATTTCTAATATCGTTTTTCATTGGCAGAACTAGTGCGCACTCAGTGTATATTAAAGCTGTTGTACACTAACCTACTCTGAATGTAAAAGTGAAATATCTCAATTAATAAGATACCCAATGTATATTTTATCAAATACCACAATAAAATATATTGAGGATTTCGCAGTTTAATTCATTTCTACATTCATATTAAACGTACATCTTTTATATCGATTTGTGTACAACTTTAAAATACATTGAGTACGCACCAGCTTTACCAGTAAAAAACGCTATAAGTTAATAAAAATTAGACATTTAATCCTTAATACACACCTTTGTGTCATTCGTGTCCTGCGTATTTTTTCTTAGATTTATATATAACAATATTATATATACAACAATTATATATAATAATTTATTATACATGTAAATATACAACTTTCAACACATACTTTCTAAAGATGTCAAAATATACATAAAAATTGCTTAATAATTTTTATATATAATACTTGTAAAAGTTATGAAAATTAATCTAGAACTCGAAAGACCCATCGTGTGTAATAAGGGTGCCAAAAACTAAGGTGTATACTAAAGGTTAATAAAAAAATAGGCGACAATTTGGAATGTACAAAGGATAAAAAAAATATAGAAATTGTTACCTGTATCAACTGTTTTAAACACTTGGCACAGATAACAAATTAAATTTTTCTGCAATTTTTTACAAAAAATTGATATTAATTGTTATTAAAATTTTTAAAAGATATACTATAACGGTCAAATAAAATTTTAAAAAATGAAGAGCATGGATAATAATACCTTAAAATATAATAGGAATCATTCAGCAATATAATATACCTATATTTATAACATCAAATTTTAGGGGAAGGTGGAATGAAACGGACAGTGAGGTAAAATGATTCATTTACTAAACCTTATTAGTAACTAACTCCATCTGCTGAATGAACATAAAATTAGTTTTCTCGTGAGTTATTTATAATATAAATAAATATGAAATTTTTCTAAATGAATCTCGTGATCTACTTCTTACTGTTACGTTTAGAGTGGTTATAGGGTTGCAAAATATGTTTTTAAATTTTTCTGAAAGTTCCAAGTTTCTGATAATTTAAAATATTTCATCTGAATATTTCATCAGTTACACTTAAAAAATAATTTTTTATACAAAGAATTAAATAAAAAGAAAAATATTAATGTTATCATATGTGAGATAAAAAGAACCAATTTAAATGGGGTAAAATGAACCAATATATATATTTTTTCTATAAATATATATATTTGTTTTAATTTGAGAAATACTTTACATTTCTTTTTCTTAACAATTTCTTGTTTTTTTAACCATTTTTCTAGTAGCTGAAAATGCCTATAAAAAAATCGAATTGATGTAGATGCAATGAGGAAAATTTATATAAAGCCTTAAAAGTCATATTAGAAGAAAGCGTAAAAATAAAAATGCATTTTAATAATATACTTTTCCTTTTCTTGTAAAACAAAAAGCTGAAGACTTTTGTATGCAATAAAATAATTAATGTTAAATTAATTCCTCTTTTTATTCAAAATTATTTAATAAGTAATACATGGTTTTGATTTAGAGTTAATCAGTTAAATTATTTTTCGGTCCATACATCGCTGCATCGGCTTATTATCTAGACTTGGTCCATATTATTCCAATGAATGGTCTATTTTATCCCAACCAAAACGGACCAAAATTAAGTTTTACAAAAATTTTAATAGTATCTAACAAACTTTCGCAAGATATGAAAAAATTCAAACTTTTTGATCTTGTAATAAATATTTCAAAGTTTCTTTATATTAAACTTTACTTATTTTTTGTCATTAATAAAGAAAATATAGCTATTTTTACTTAAGAGGTCCGTCTTATCCTACCTTCCCCTATATTAACCACTTAATTAAATTAATCAAAACTAATATAGTAAATACTATTATATGGTTATACATATAATTATAGTAAAAGTATCAATATACGAAATTTAATAATTAATTTTAATATGTAATGAATAATTTATGTAGAAAATAGTTTATTTTATACATATTTTTCTAAAATTAAAACAACTTTATTAAATATAATTAAAACCACATATTATAGATGTAATTAATTACAAAATTTTAAACTTGAATATATAATCTTTATACTTTTTAGGATATATAATCATTTCTAACTTGATTATATAATATTAAACTTTTGAGAAAACGGTTTTATAATTTTTAATCTTTTTTTATTAAATAAATCGTTTAGCACCGATTATTTTGTAGATATCATATAAATGTGCGATTATAATTTAGAATGGCCGTAAAATGGCGTTATTCTTCAATCGACTTAAGCAAAAGCATAAGCGTTGCGGAAAAAAGAGAGAAAAAGGAAAGGAGAAAGAAGGTTCATGTGAAATGGGTGCAAATCATGGACTCGCATCTAAATAGGTTTCTACGTTTACCAATCTATTCCTTTACATAACAGTTCGTACTATATTTCGTACCCATTTCTGGGACACCATGACTTTAAAATACTTCATGAATATAAAATTTCCTTCTTTTCCTACGAATCTTTTTATGTCACAGCTATCTTTAACTTTCGAAATAACATCATATAATGCAAAATTTACCCAATCTAAAGAAACAATAATATTCCGTCTAGTTGCAAAAAAATAATTAGCATGTGATCTTTAAATATATAAAACTTTCTCGTTCAAATAAGGAAATGTGAAACTTACAAAAACATATTGAAAAAAATATAGAGAATATCGAAATATTTATATA